AGATGCAATTTCAAGGAGCCAAAACATTTCATTGTCAGGGTGATGCACAGCCTGGATTGCAGATCCCTGCTGCTGCACAAGGTGTGCACTGAGCACAAAACAATCCCTCAGTTCCCCTGAATCTCCTGGCACAGCGACACAGCAGGGGCTAAACACCCTGGCTGTCACTTATCCACACTCACATTGCAGTTAAAAAAGTTAAATTTCCATCCAGCTGCAATATTTCTGCACTAATGGGAAGCTTTTTGCTCTCTGCAGTGGGTTTGTAAAACAGGTTTCTTTCTTGCAAAAAGCTTTCCACAGAAATCAGGCTTAAGGCAGGTGGGATAAATAAAGGCCAAATAAAGCCAAGAAACAAAACAATTCCTGATCCATCTCATTACAGGCAGAGCAAGATGGAAACAATCCAGAGCTCAGGGATCCAAGATAAATTCTGCAATTTTCTCTTGCAATGCAGTTTTAAGTGTGAAAACTGAGAGAGACCAAAAACTCCTGATGAAATGTCCAAAACCATCTGTTCTCCTTGCAGAATGCAGGATTTAAATACTCTGGACTTGGTGCTCTCACCTCCTAAAAACCTTGAGTTTAAAATTACAATTTCATCAAACTCAAGTGTTCTTACACAGTGGAAATAATGATGATGGATAATGAGAATTGCAAAGGTTAAAATTGGCTAATTTACATATTAGACCAAAGCCTAATCCAAGGAAAAGGTGACTTACCTGAAACAATTCAGAGCTCAGGATCCAGGATAAATTCTGCAATTTTCTCTTGCAATGCAGTTTTAAGTGTGAAAACTGAGTGAGATCAAAAATTCCTGATGAAATGTCCAAAACCATCTGTTCCTTGCAGAATGCAGGATTTAAATACTCTGTGAGACCCTGGGATTTGGTGCTCTCACCTCCCAAAAAATTTGAGTTTAAAATTACAATTTCATCAAACTCAAGTGTTCTTACACAGTGGAAATAACAATGATGGATAATGAGAACTGCAAAGGTTAAAACTGCCTAATTTTCATATTACACCAAAGCCTAATCCAAGGAAAAGGTGACTTACCTGAAACAATTCAGAGCTCAGGATCCAGGATAAATTCTGCAATTTTCTCTTGCAATGCAGTTTTAAGTGTGAAAACTGATCAAAAACTCCTAATGAAATGTCCAAAACCACCTGCTCTTTGCAGAATGCAGGATTTAAATACCCTGTGAGACCCTGGGATTTGGTGCTCTCACCTCCCAAAATCCTTGAGTTTAGAATTACAATTTCATCACACTCAAGTGTTCTTACACAGTGAAAATAACGATGATGGACAATGAGAACTGCAAAGGTTAAAACTGCCTAATTTAAATATTAGACCAAAGCCTAATCCAAGGAAAAGGTGACTTACCTGCAAATCTGTTCAGCTGAAAGCCCTGAAATCCAGGGCAGGACCCAAAGGGGAAGTTTGGAGTCTCCCTCAGAGCTGCCCATCCACTGGCACCTCTGGATGCTGAAATAACCCAGCCCAAAGCAGAATAAACATTATTTTGGCAGCCTGGAGCAAGCTGAGGAGAGAAGGGCACAGTTTATTTCCACAAGCAGTACAAATCACTGACTCAAAATGCAAAAGAGCTGAACCAAAGCCTGTAAAGCAAATTCTAGAAAAGATTCCAGCCCCCAGAGGACAAACTGCAGTCCCAAGAAATTTGGGTGGTGAAAAGGGAGAGGATGGAGTCATCAAAAGCTCTGCTGCCACACGTATTTAGATGTTTGCTAAATTCTGCCTTCACTTTCCCACTGAATTTTGCTCCTCAGGGCATCAAGAATAAATAAAACTTCTGATTAAAGATCAGCAGCACAATTTAAACAGCCTGAGCCAGCTGGTAGCAGCAGCAGTGCTGGGAATGTTTGGTTTGGATTTCATTGCTGGGATTTACCAGCATTCCTCACAAAACTGCTGCTTTGCTGGGGTTTGAACACCACAAGCTCCCAGTTCAGCTTTCTGCAGCAGCAGTGATTATTGTTTTGTTTTGGAAATGAATCTGGGGCACAGAGAATGGAGTTGCTTCAGAAGGTTGGGGTGTGATGGAGTTGGTGGCTGTGCTGCCAGTGAGGCAATGCTGGTAAATCCCACTGCACCTAAATCCCATCCAGCACTAAAAAACCCCAGGAAAATTAAAAAAAAAAAAAATTAAGAAATATCCTGAAGGATATTTTAAGAATTGCAATAAATCAGAGCTCAACTGGAGCACTCTGTCCTGTTCCTCTCATAAATAACTACGTCAGCATCTCTTTCCAAATCCCAGAGACTTCCAGGCAGCAGAAACAGGAACTCCTGGGAATGAACCCCAGGGTCATGGGAGAGGGCCCCAGATCCATCCTCCACAGGGAATGGATCCCAGCAGGAGATATATTCCCCCAGGGAATGGATCCCACCAAAGGGTGGATCCCAGCAGGGGATGGATCCCATGAGGGGATGGATCCTACCAAGGGATGGATTTCACCAGAAGATGGATTTCACCAGAGGATGGATTTCACCAGAGGATGGATTTCACCAGGGAATAGATCCCACAGGGGATGGATCCCACCAGAGGATGGATCCCAGCAGGGTATGGGTCTCACAGGGGATGGATCCCATGAAGGCATGGATCCTACCACAGGATGGATCCTACCAGGGCATGGATCCCAGTCGAGGACAGATCCCACCAGGGATGGAGCTCATCAGGGGATGGATCCCACCACAGGATAGATCCCAGGAGGGGATGGATCCCACAGGGGATGGATCCAAGGAAGGGATGGATTCCAGCATGGGATGGATCCCACCGTGGGAGGGGTCCCAGCAGGGGTTGGATCCCACCAGGAGATGGATCCTACCAGGAGATTGATCCCACCATGGGAAAGATCCCAGCAGGGGATGGATCCCACTATGGGGATGGATCCCATGAGGGGATTAATCCCAGCAGGGGATGGATCCCATGAGGGGATGGATCCCACTGTGGGAGATCCCACCAGGGCATGGATCCCACCAAGGGATGAGTCCCAGGAGGGGAAGGATCCCACTAGGGGATGGATCCCAACAAGGGATGGGTCCCACCATGGCATGGATCCTCCTCTCCAGCTGCAGCTCCTCCAGCACGTGGCTCCCAGGCCATCCCTGAGGAGCAAACACACACAGGGACTCCCCCTGAGACAGCAGTGAGCCAGGACAAACTGAAACTGGGCAAAAGCAGCTGTGCTGTGCTTTATAAACCCTTCTGTGGAAATCCACAGCAGGGAATGTCAGTGCCTCTGTCCCAGCACAGATCCCAAACCTCACTGGCACCCTCCCCAAGCCCAGCACCTCAGGGACTGCATCCTGTGTCTTCCTGGGGTTGAGAAGCCAAATTCTGGGTCAGATCTGCTGTTTGTGGACCTCAGGGACTGTATCCTGTCCCTTCCCGGGTTTGAGGAGCCAGGTTTGGGTCAGATCTGCTGTCTGTGTGACTCAGGGAAGCCCGTGGATGTCTGGATTCCATGGATGTCTCCAGAGGAACTGCATTTCACACCAGCAGCAGATCTGGCTCAGCTGCTGCCCCACACCCAACCACCCCACCCCACATTTGGGACTGGATTAGGGGTTTTATGTGCAGCAGCAGCATCTCCCAGCGCTTTGTAGATTTTAGATTTAAAGAGAGGAACTCTCCACCTTTCAAAGTTCTGCCCAGAGCCCTGATGATTTGCCAGGACCAAACCCAACACTTGGAGGTCGCTTTAAAAGGTGACCTGAACCCTCCAGACATTCCTGAGGCTCAATGGAATTCAGCTTTTCCTTTTAAGTCCTCCCAGAGCTACTTTTATCAAGTTCACTTCCAGCTCCTGGCCTGGGGTGTCTCCTGTTAGACAAAGGACATGAAACTGGGTCTGCTCACAGAAAACAAGGCTGGAGAACATCTGGTTTGCAGCCCAGATGTTGCAAATACCAACATGTGCAAGTCATCCCTTCAATCCAAGAGAATCTTCCATCAGCCACTTTTGGCCCACTTACTTAAACACGAAAAAAAAAATAAAAATCAGGGATTAAATTCACATTAAATTAAACACCATGTCCACTAAAAGGATCAAAGTTGGCTCTGGGAAAAATGACCTGCATGTCATTTCCTTACAGGAAATGCTGCCCAGGAAGAGTTAAAATAATTTAAGGGAAATATCTGAGCAATTCTTAGATGAGAACACACATCCTTTGCCTCCCACCCACCTCCCTGAATTATTTTTTTCACTGAGAAAAATCCTCCAGCTTTAATAACAACCTTCTCTCCTGCAGGGTGGCTCTATGACTACACCCAGACCTACGCCTGCTCCTTCCTCTTTGCTGGAGCCTGTGCTCTCATCTCACCCATCTCCTTCTTCTTTGAGCCTGCAGCCCAAAAATGGAAGCTAAAAAAAGCCAATTTGAACAAAAACTGAAGTTTTAAAGGCTGAGCTTTGATCATATCTACGTGGGAAAGCCATTGCCTGAACTGGGAAGGATCAACAGCAGCAACACTGAAAATACCAGAATATTCCAAAATAACTGGAATTTTTGGATGTCAGATTCAGTTTGGATAGCTGGATATTTGTGCTGATTAAAGCCAGCTGAGAAAGGCACAGTGTGAAGTGTATGGGGGAAATGCAGCCCATGGTGGTGCCTCAGCTCCTGAGCTGGGTTTTTGTGCCTCTCAGATTGAATCCTCAGCTCTGTCCTGGACTCACTCACCTCGTGGCATGAGCAGCTCCCAGAGATTCCAGCTCATTTCTGCTCACTGGCCCTGGGGAGGGATGAGGGCAGGGAGATCCTTCCTTCCATGAGGGTCCTGCAGGAGCTCCTCTCTCTGGGGCAAGGATGCTGCAGTGGGGCCACTCCACATCCCAGCACAGTCACTGCCACAGCACACACGACCTGGAGGCAAAACCAGTTTTAATTAAAGCCAGATAACATAAATAATATAATATCATAATATAATATAATATAATATAAATCACAACACAGCAAAGTCAGAGACCAAACCCACCCTCCCCAGCTTCCCAACACTCCAGGGACTCCTGTCATGGACATATTTTATGAAAAATTGTTTCATTAGGATCTTTTCTCCTGAGAAGCTGAGAAGCTTCAGAGGAAAAGAAAAACAATGATTATCTGCTGCTGTGGAATGCAACAGGTAAAGCCTTGATTGGTCTCATGTGATTGTTTCTAATTAATGGCCAATCACAGTCCAGCTGTCTCAGACTCTGGTCAGTCACAAGATTTTATAATTTCATTCCTTTCTATTCCTTTCAAGCCTTCTGATGAAATCCTTTCTTCTATTCTTTAGTATAGTTTTAGTAGATAATTTTCTTTTAATATAATATATATAATAAAATAATAAATCAGCCTTCTGAAACATGGAGTCAAGTTTCTCATCTCTTCCCTCATCCCTGGGACCCTGCAAACACTCCCAGGGATTCCATTCCACAGGCAGCTCCAGTGCTGAGCCTGGATCCAACCAGCATCCCACAGATTTCATTTGGATGGATAAGACACAACACAGCAGCCTGGAATTTCTTTCCAGTAGTGAAAGCCCCATTTTTTAAAATCTGGTATTTAAAATTATTATAGTAAAAAAATTTGGTCTTTGAAAATTATTATAGTAAAAAATTTGGTATCTGAAATTATGATGGTAAAAAGTTTGGTATTTGAAATAATGATGGTAAAAAGTTTGGTATTTGAAATTATTATGGTAAAAAATTTGGCATTTGAAATTATTATGTCACCCTGGGCTATTCATTCCAGCCAATGGCATTATCCTTCTCTTTACCTTTCCTGTTTTTATTATTAAGGAGATTATTATATTATTTATTATTAATAATAAATATTAATAATATTTTTATTATTACATTTCCTTTATTATCAAATGATAAATATTATATTATATTATATTACCCTTTTAATTATTAAGGAGATTTAATTATCCTATTTTTTTCTTACCCCTTTTATTCCTCATCCCTTTTTTTTTAATATGAAGGCAGCAAGAGAGTGGTTTCCCCTATAGAAACACTCCTTTGAACTGTGAAACAGATTATTTCAAGCCCAAAATGAGATGGTTTATATTTAATTAAAAGCTACAGAATACTTCAACAATTTCAAGGAGCTCCAACACTGTCACAGGTAAGAAAATTCGTCTACAGATGATGGACCAAATGCAGCACTTACACAATTACACAGTGCCAAGGAAACTGTGCTTAAAAGAGGGAAAAATTACAGGGAATGGGGAATATCAGTGCTAGAAACCAGTTCATTTTTCATGTGCTGTTTGACAGCTTCTCCCAGGAATGTGCAGGCAGCAAGTGCTTTGGGAATTGTCCTTTCCAATGGAACCGTCATCAATTTATACCTGAAACCATCATCAATTTACACCTGGAATCATCATCAATTTACACCTCCTGAAACCATCATCAATTTACACCTGGAACCTCAGCACCCACCACTCTGGGGCTGGGATGGAGCACAGAATATCTGACCCAGGACAGGATCCCCAGTGGGGCATTTTCCAAGGCACCAGGATTTCTGGATAAAATGATTATTTCTGAGGTGTTTAAGGCACTGGGAGTTGCAGGGGGATGAACCAAACTCAGCCAATCCTGAACTGAGGCCTCAGCCAAGCCCTTCTGCAGCAGGGATGAAACTTGCATTTAAAAAATTTTGAGTTTTTACCTCATGAAACAATAAAGTTCCTCACCCTCACCAACACAAACACTACCAGCAGCTTTGCTGCTGTAACAGGAACCATGTGGGAGGATTTCCAATCCTAAAGCTTTAGGATTTTAGCATTTCTTTCTGGAAGGCATTTTAGGATTTTAGGGTTTTTTCTGGCTTTTAACAGAGGGGGACCAAAGCTCTGTGGGGATGGAAAAAGCCACCCCAGCAGTTCCTCACCTGCTGCTCCCACTCTACACAATTCCAACACCTTTTCTGCTCTGCTCTCTCCCTGTAAATGAAGCCTCTGCTCAACACCTTTCTCCTTTCAACACAAGCCCTGTGGTATTTTCACCTCTTTTACCACCAAGAAACAACTCAGCAGGATGTGGTGTCCAAACCTCCCACCTCATCCATACTCACTGGAATTATTTTATATTATTTATACATTATTTTAATTCATTTATATATATTATTTAGATTTTGTACTATTTTGTATAATTTAATTTATTTGTATATAAATATTTTATTTATCTATAGATATTATTTAAATTTTATATTATTCCATATAAATGGTTATATATCAATACATAATTATTTATTTATACATATTAATTATATTTTATATAATCCCATATAAAAGTTTATATATTAAGATATAATTACTTATTTATACATATTATTTATATTTTATATTATTCCAAATAAATATATATTATATTTATATAAAATTTTATTTATATATTTAGTTTATATATTTAACTAACTAATTTACCTAACTAATATTTATAATATTAGTTTATATTATAGTTAATATTTATAAATTAGTTTATATATTATTAAATAATTATTAAATGTATCTATAATTACTTATATTTTATATATAATTAATTTATTTCTACATATTACTTATATTCTAAATAATTTTATAGAATATTATATATATTTTTATATATAATTATTCAATTTATTTCTACATACTATTTATATTTTATATTATTTATAAATATATTTTCTATAATTATAGATATATTTATAAATAATACACATATTATTTATGTATTTTTATTTATAATTTATACATTGTACACCCCTGAGTGTCCTGGCTACCAGCTGCAGGTTTCCCTTCCTTGTTCTGTATTCTGCCTCACTGAAAGGCAGGATACAGCTGCTAGAACATGGATTTAGGCATTTTAAATACACAAAATAAACCTCTCCCTGTCCCACACACTCTGTGGTCAGGCTCTGCCCTTGATAAAAATCATAATCTACTGAAAACCAAGGCTGTGACTTTCCCATCTGCTCCAAAAAAATTCCCCTCCAAACCTGCAGTATCTTAAGCAGAGATTGCCCTCCCTCCATC